GCACGAGATACCTTAGGGTCTTCAGTATTGCATAATATGAGTATTTTGACCGCTTGGCGGATGAAATCTTGACGAATTTTTCTAGTAACTTATCTTCTGTGAACACTCCAGAAACTCTTCCCAACTTTGTTTACTCTGCCTGTACCTATTCTAGAGTTACTATCGGTGCCAAGCCCGAGCAAAGGAAGGGGGTTGGGCATGAAGTCGTCAATTCCACCGCGTAAAAAGACCTGCTAAAGAGCGCTAACCAGATTAAACAAAGTAAAATATTTAAACTATACCATTGGAGTTGAAGGAAGTATTATTACGCCTCAGGATGAAAGCCGAGATTCTTCGGAAGTCACGAGGCCGATGCCCCTTCTAACCATCAGAGCAACAAGTTTTATAGGTGCATAGAACGTCCGGATAATGCTTGAGACCGAGAAGACCAGCGAAATAGCAACGGAAAAAGTTGACAGTACATGGAATCAGCGAAACCGATTGGATCCAAGCTGGACAGCAAAGACTAGATACGAGAGATATGCTGCTGTAATCCGGTCACGAAGAGGAAAGTGATTCACACACTCAGGTAGTTGCTATAATGCTGTCCAAAAAGCGCGAAATGTACTTATAGGATGGGAATCTCATAGATCCAGAATCATCAAAGTATCATTCAAAACAAAGAAGGAACGAATCACAACGAATGTTGTGCACCCACCAATGATAGCAGCGATGACAATAAAAATTAATTCCATGAGAAGCTGTAATCAGTCATAGCGAATGCCTAAGAAAGGACCTTGCAACAGCTTAGGTTGATTGACAGGCACGAAAACCTCACCATTCTGATGGGAGGTCTAAACGCCGAAGTCGGAATGGACGACACCGGTTATGAAGATATCAGGGGATAATACGGACTGGGGGAGATAAACGAAAATAGTGAGAGGGTTCTGCAAATCCATGCACAGTATCCTTACACAAACGCGTACACAAAGCAATATGGATCTCACCGAACCACACCACAGAGAACCAGATAGATGATATTTATATCAATAAAAAATTCATCAGGACAATGGAAGACGTGAGAACCAGGAGAGGAGCTGACAAAGCTTCAGATCACCGCCTTGTTGTAGCGAAGATGAAACCGAAGCTTAAGAAACATTGAACAATTGGGGGAATTGCATTACAAAAGTTCAATATAGTCTTCCTTCGAGATACTAACAAACTCAACGATTTCAAGATGACTCTCAACAAAATGTTTCAAGCTTCAAAGGATCTATTGATAGAAGAAACTACCTGAAAGGTATCAAAGAAGCATTAACTTACCTGGTGAAAAAACCAAAGTAAGTTAAAATATTGCTACTAATTTATGTCCTCAAGATAAAATGTGCTCACTTTTTTTAGCTTTCATTCACTTAAGTCACATAAAAATGCCAGATATTACACATATTATCACTTGAGTAGTATATGCGTCTCGAATTTGTGAAAACTATCTTATCCCTGTAAAGGAGGAAAGAGGGACATATGATGATGTTTAAATCAATTATAACTGTAAAGACGAGGAGTCAGTGATTTTAAATGTTTCAGGCAAAAAATGGTAAACCATATATTAATTCGCTTCTTGTTAGAACAATACACTGAGCAGGCTTTCAGATAGTGTCCCAGACCGTAATGAAGAAAGTGTGGTGCTACCACGGTTTTGGCTTTTTGACCTGCGATTCTCGTTCGCTGCCACACACGTTAGGATATAAAAGTGTCTATTTGAACTTGTTAGGGGTCTCGACAAATCAAGGCGAAAATAGTCTAAACGAGAGTTTGTAGGCGCGAAAGATCCCAGTTGACACTTGTTGTGTTCAGTCACTTTAGATTTCTGGCAGCTCACACATGAATGTGCTTACTCCCTCACATCCTTGTTTATAGCAGGCCAGCAAAATCGTTCTGCTTCGAAATTGATAGTCACTCGAACACGTTGAAGAGGAACTTGGAGCAACGAATTGAAGAAATGGCATCCATAGTGTTTTGCCACGATCGAACTACCTTTATCGGAAGACGTGCTGCATAGCACAATTTCATAAACTGCTGCCATCTGTTCAATCTGTAGTTTTGGGGTTGTCGAGAGTACCCCGTGCTGACGAGCATCGTCTTGCTTTTGAAGCTGATCGAGTTTAAGAAGGTCAAAACTCGTTCAAGGAAGTGATACGAGACAATGCGTCTGCCACTACATTGTTTTTCCTGAAATACGTTGAATATCTGAAGTGAATTGCGAGACGTTGTTCAGTTGTCCAGATTGTCGTGTCGAGAACTTGTTTGAAGATGAGTCGACAGAATTATTTGGAGGTTTACGGGCGGTGAACAGAGTGAATTCCACAAAGCCTTGAGAATGCCGTACAACACAATTGATAAGTAGGAGTTCTCTACCGAAAGTGCTGTACCTCGATTCAATTTCTCATATTCATCTCGAGACTGCACAGGATTTTTCGGTGTTATTTACTCACTGTGGTAAAACTACTCATGTTGCTGAATCCGATTTGTCTACTGCGATACTAATGGATGCTTTGGTGGCCCGATGTACATTGATCATTGAATCTGTGATACTGATGCTTACACAGCTAACCAGATGGTGTGTGTCTCACCGTCAAGAGTGGCTTTGCTCACAGACGTTTAATGGTTTCGCAAAATTACTCTTTAGTTATAGGAAGAAAAATATACCCAACACTCAACAGTGAAAAAATGTGCTCATGCACTCGCCAGTTTGAATATTCTGCCCGTATTTAGAGTTTTTAGGTGTTAACGGCTCAGTGACACCGCGGTTTAACAAACAATCGTCAAGAACAGTCTTACTGCATGACTGTTGACCAGCAATAAATGTGATACTGCTTCTGCTCTTAACTATCTAGCGCACTCTAACCATCAGCGTTTTCCATAATCACCCAAACTTTGCACAATTTTCCTACATTTCTTGTCAAACTCGCAGTTAGTCAGAAATGGCTAAACAAATTGCATAGAGTCTAGAGATTCCAATGCTTAGAATTGGAAGCTCTGTCAGACCATCTTGTCTATATTACCTATTTTGCTCTGTTGAATGAAGAATTTTTTTCTTCTAAGTGGTAGTACACCGTTCTTTGTTTGCCCTCAGTGTTGTTTAAAAGACATCTGGAATCTAACGCTATCAACTTATAGTTCCCATTATCAATTCGTCTCATTCCTTGCTCGTGTCATTGCCGACTGTTATTGATTACCTTATCAGATAAGTTCATTCTATAGGTTTATTGAGCCGTTGGCTCACTTTTACTATTGTCCTTCTTCTCTTCAGCTTAAATAACTGTTTGCTGAGAAACTAAAATGAGAATTATGCCATATTTTAACCTAGAACTCTCTACTACCATCGAGATGCAGATCCCAAGGTGCAAATAACTCCATTTCTGATCAGTAGCGTTTGAAAGATTGAGGGAACAACTGACCTCGTTAATTAAGTACAAAAGCTTCTCTAAGAGAAATTGGCAGTAACGTTCCAAACAGCTTCAAGTCATGGGGTGAAATATATACACTACATATCGCCACGTATGTGGTAGGATTTTCAAATTCGACTCTTATCTTGCATGCTTTAAGCATTAACTGACGATCCTTCAAATATATGGCTACTTAGCTTTTCGAAATAGATGCTGGTTTTACCAGCTCAAGGGTGCAGAACCAGTTCATTAAACTGCTACAAGCCAGAGAGCATGAAACTCAGATTATTCCTAAACTAGCTATACCGTTCACTCTACAATATCTAGCTAAATGCACAGTATGCTAGTCTATATGTAAGTTCAAACTGTTAAAGCATTTTGTTGGGATTTTATGACCTCTGTAGCAGTATAAATCAATTATATTAGTGAACAGTTGAAAGTTTTCAACCTGCTATCCTCTTTGATTACTACTACTAGTCAGGTTAGGATATTGTTCTAGTCATAAGTATGTATAGCACCCACTATTGTCATTTCGAAGCTCAGTGAATTAATAAATTGTGGGGTAGATTCCACTTTTATAAGTTTATGGAACACCTATTTCTCATCCTTAATTAATGCTTGCTTCGACGTTGAGACACAAAACCGAGTTCATAATTACTCATTATCACGATGTACGTTGCTCTGCGAATATGCAAAGCACGAAGATATAAACTTATGCTTGTAAGGTCGTGTGGTGATAAGTTCCCTATGTAGATCCAAATAAAAAATAGTAAAAGTCTGATGTTTTCAGCAAGTACACTTACTCCTAAAACACTGAACCAGCAATAAATAGACAATACTTTCTGTAACATCTATCCTATTCCACACTTCCCAAAATGTAAATCTTAAGACTTTGAACGCAACAATTAACACGTATGGTGAAAGTCCATGAAAAAATGTTTATTATATATATTTTTCTTTGACCAACCGTAGTGACATACATAAACATTCACATTAACGTTAAAAGTCGATTGTTCTCAAAGACGAGAGTTTAAAACATTGAAATATACAGTATTAAGCTACAAGTTTTTATTGATTCAGAAGTTAAAAAAAGAAAAAAAAATTTATGAAGAAATAAAACGGAAGTTTCTCCAACTATTCATTTGTCATCACACATCAACGAACATATAATAAAAAATAGCTAGTAATTTCATAAATGTATTTAAAGAATATCTTAGATCATAATACACTGAAATGATTGAAAATCACCATGAAGAATTCCAGTTACTTTACAGAGATGAGGTACCAAAATATATTCAGAAATAATTATGAGTTAATTCACAAGGAAAAGTATAAAAAACAGTCAAATGAATAGCTGCACCAAAAAGTAGTAGAAAAGCATATACATAATTAAATATTTTCTGTTTTATGAAAGCGAGATTTATAAAACATGCTTTGTGTCAAATCTTTCCACGAGAAAAGTAAAGACATTAAAAAATCAAAAGCGTTTAGTGCATGAAAAATGACACGTTTTGGCAATCTCAAAAAGTGACGCGTATATTGAATATTTCTAAATCTGCAATCCAGATAACCGGATTAAAATCGTAGTGATATCCCTTCATATTTGGAAGTGAACATCATGAATGGTTTTGTTAAAGAACTCAACGGACAGTAACGTTTCAATTCCGTATGGTTTTTTAGGACGACTACCTAAATTAAAGTAAAAAGCATTGGAGATTCGCTTTAATCTATATAACAATCAAAAAATAATAAACAACAAATGGTAAAGTATAAACTGAGAAAAGGCTAATGTTTGCATTGATTTTAAATACAATCGATTAGATTAAGATGATGATTGGTTTTGGTACAACTTTCGATCATCTGAAAAGGACTCAAACCTAGCGAAAAGGAGCAATTGTATCATTAAATTTAGTTTTTTGCTATTATTATTAGCTCTTTTGAATGTTATATTTTTTGGTACAATATAGAATTCTCAGCACAAAGTATTTCAGCGAGTTTCTGTTTCTTATTTCTGGATCGACATTGACGAGAAATATTGAATGATCGCCAGTTAGATATAAATACTTTGCAAGTCGACGTCTGAATAATATTTATTCTTTTCAATGTATATTGCCAGTCATCACAATGTTTCTGATTGTAAATTTTTGTAACTTGCGCAGTGAAAGGTCGTACACTTTTCACAAACGCACCTGAATTGTTTATTGATTTAATTAACATAATGATCTGTTAAAACAAAAAAGGAAACAGATAACTTGTTGAAATATCTAAATGACAGGAACAGGTATCCCAGATATTCAAGCAAGCCGCAAACGATGAGCCGCCTGTTTCTCAGCCAATAAATCGAAATCTAGTGGAGAGCTTCGTTAACCAACTGAATTAACCAACAAAATAGTGCTGTGATTCGGTACTACATATGAGTAATGTGTAGCTACACAATTATGAATCAATCAATAGTGACCATGTGTGATGCATAATTTTATAATTGCAGTCAAAACGAACAAAATATCACTGAATAATTTGGTTGTAAGACTACCACTAATCACTTGCCCGATTGATAGCTCTGGAAAACTAGCCGCACGAACTGAATGATTCAATATCCCTGTTTATAAGATGACATCAACTATTAATTAGAACGTTTAGTGTTTTGGAGTATCCTTTTTATTTCAAGGCCTATGGGACCCACTGAATTCGTTGTAATTACGTTATGGCTCCATTTTCTACCCTCTTGAAACATCATGTGTTCAATCGATTGGGTATTGAATTCCTATACGCTTTCTAGTTATCAAATATCTACTGCATTTGAAGTTTTAGCTGAAAACAAACGACGGGAAGAATGAAAAGAGGTTTACTTTGAAAATGAGTCCGTATACAACAAACAAGTGTACCTATGGACTATATGACGCTGAGATTCTCGAAGCTAGTACAATATATGCTAAAATTAATAGAGAATTATCTTATAAGGATTATGAAAACATCGTCTATCATCTCTGAAAGCTAATCGGTTAGTGTATATAACACATGTTTACAGCATGTTATTCAAGGAATCATCAAAGCCACCTATCACGTCTAGAGACCCAACATTGTTTTTTTTATGTTTTGTATTATTAATGATACGTTTACTTCGACTAACGAGATTACTATCCTGTTAGATCATTCTGGTTATCTTGATAGGATTTAGGAATCTAAGGAAATTCAAATTTGTGCTAGATTCTACGGTACCTATAAGTGAGAAGTGCATCTCAAATAGTTTATAAGACAAATAATTGAAAGCTCTTTATTAATGAATTTGATAAAAAAAATAAAAAAAACTGAAATATCTCAAATACATAATAGTCTCAAACAGGGAAATATATATAATTTGCACTTTACTAACCTTCTTGTTATGATTACTAAATTCTGAATCACATAAATGTTCTTCATTCGATATTATTTGAACTACTAATTTTCTTCTTGTACATGATGAAGGATCAATATACTCCTTTATTCAGAATTAAATTATAAATGAGTTACAATGAAACTTTCAATTGATTGTATTTCAGTAAATAAGAAGTACTCCAAAGATTAGTAAATCAGTCATGATACATAGACATATATCTTTTATTATTTCATAAACTATACAGACCTATCCACTTTTAATTTAGTAATACTATGTCACAGTTTAAAACTAAGTATATCAGAGAGAAATTTGAACATTTAAATCTGTAGTTAAAATTTAAGTACTATTGAACTAATATCAGAAGGGGTTTTGTGGATATTATAGTAATTTAATATTTGAGATCATGAGTTCGAATCTCGCGTGGCGGGGATCATGGATGCGAACTGCTGAGGAGTACCACAATAGAACGAAACGGACGTCCAGTGCTTCCAGGTTTTCCATGGTGGTCTAGCTTCAATTTACTCATGATCCCAACTATTAAATTACTATTGAATTATCAAATCACCAGACTATTCATTTGTTTACTAAATGATATAAACTCGATGAGATAAACTAAGTTTATGTTGATCCAATAACATTCAATCATTTCAGTTGATTTCAATAGTTGAAATCATTAGTCAATTTAAACTAGACCATCATGGAAAACCTGGAAGCACTGTACGTCCGTTTCGTCCTAGTATGAAATTCCTCAACAGTGCGCAGTCATGATCTCACCCCACGCGAGATTCGAACCCGGGACCTATCAGTCTCGCGCGCGAGCGCTTAACCATTAAACCAGTGAGTAGGCATCTACAAATACATATACTTGTTTTAAATCGTTTTCATAAAGCAATTGTTATTTATCATTACAAATAGTCAAACGAAACAGATCAAAATAAACAAGGAGAAGGTGTTAGTGAATAAAGTTTTCTTCTTCAGTTATACATACTTTGAAGAAATTGATAATGTTATTCTTTTTGAGTGATTTCAATACACTAACCGCATGTACATCTGAGAATAAAGTTAAGAAATTAAAATAAAATATTTACAAATTATCTAAAGAATTATTAATCGCTTTCATTATTTTGAAACTTTTAAATGTTCAATATTAACATCTTGGCGTAAATTAGATAAAAATATATCAGTGAACAAAATTGTTTTTCACTTGATCAAAATCAAAATCTATCCCGATTCATAATTTATATGAGCGAATATATATATATATATATATATATATATATATATATACTATGGGCTTCAGTCATCTTGGTTGGATTCAGAGTATAAATAACCGACCGAAGCTGCTACCTTGACGCGGTGGTCGGGCTTGCCTATCGTGATGACCCAACCGAGCTACATTGGCCAATACTAATCCAATTTCCTTTTCAGGTTCCTCAAGAAATACGCTTCCACGGTGTGGGCAGCCGGGAAGTGACATCAGCCCTCATACCCGTAACAGCACACGAAACCAAGTTGGTCACATTCAAATCTTTCCTAATCCTCCTAATACCTCTCTTATCTCCATGAATAACCCTCCTCACGCCTCTTCATCACCTCGCAGCGCTAGGGCAAACGATTCGAGTACGTAGAACGCTATTTCTGGTCTCCTGAAACCACGCTCTAAACTACACGTAGGAGCTTTAAACGTACGAACACTGTGCCAAATACGACAGCAGGCTTCCTTAGCTAGGACATTAGAATCCCGCGCCATCGATGTGTGCTGCGTCTCCGAAACGCACACACAGGATCCGAGTAGCGTCATTCATTTGACCTCATCATGCCAAAATAAAGAACCGACTCGATTCACACTTCGTGTATCTGGAAGCCCTGATTCTGCTTCCCGTGGCTTCGTCGGCGTAGGTATAGCATTGAGTCCTAGGGCAGAACTAGCTCTCTTAGAGTGGATCCCAGTAGACAGTCGTTTGTGCGCTGTCCGACTAAACGGAACAGTAAGAATTCGGAAAGATAGGGACACTCGTCCTTGCCTCTTCGTCGTCTCTGCCTATTCTCCCACTGACTGCAGCTCAGATGATGTAAAAGATGAGTTTTACAGAAAGCTCTCCGACCTTCTCCGAAAAGCTAAGCGCTCGGATGTAGTAATAGTGGCCGGTGACTTTAATGCTCAAGTAGGTAAACTAAGCGATAGGGAAAGACACCTAGGTGGACCTTATGGTGTCGTGGCTCAAAGAACAGATAATGGCGACCGTCTGTTGTAGCTATGCTCAGATAACCGCCTCTTTCTTGCAAATACTAACTTTAAGCATAAGGAAAAACATCTTTTAACATGGAAACCCCCTAATTCGTCCCAACGTTGGACCCAGATAGATCACATCGCTATCAGCCACCGATGGAGGGGCTCGATAGAAGACTGTCGCTCATTCTGGAGCACATGCCTAGATTCAGATCATGCTCTAGTGCGAGCGCGTATTTGACTGCGTCTTACTGGACGTAAGAAAGACGCTGCAAGGAAACCTCTTAGAGTCATGTTTAATAGCAGACAATTATTCAGACTCGTTAAGGAAACCGGAATTAGGAACCCGACCGTTAGCGAAACAATCTCAGAGAAAGATGGACATATTATTCATTCTCAATCCAGGAGATTGGATCGATGGGCAGAACACTTTAGGGATCAGTTCAATTGGCCTTCAGCCACACTTCGGTTTCCCACGATCTCCAGTCAACCTGAATGGCAAGTTAATGTAGGTCCTCTGTCCCTTTACGAAGTTGAAAAAGCCATAGGAAATCTGAAGTGAGGGAGAGCAGCAGGCCCTGACAGGTTTACTCCTGAGATTTTTAAGGATGGTGGTCCAGTATTAGCAATGAGATTAACCGAGATCTTAGGTAGAATTTGGGAACTGGACGTAATCCCATCTGACTGGTCTCAATTACTGATTGTGCCAGTCTATAAGAAAGGACAAAAGTCCTCTTGTGACAATCACAGAGGAATCAGTTTGACTAATATAGTGTCTAAAATATTAGCTTCAATAATACTTCGACGCCTAATCAAAGCTCGTGAAGAGCAGATTAGAGAAAACCAGGCCGGTTTTCGACCTGGACGTGGTTGTATAGATCAGATATTCACACTACGTCCGGTTCTAGAACACAGACACACATTCAGACGCCCCACAATGGTAGTTTTTCCCGACCTTAGGGCGGCATTCGACTCTGTTGATCGTAAGGTTCTATGGCAGTGTTTGTCACTGAAAGGCGTACCAAAGAAGTACATTAACCTTATAAAGGCTCTCTGCTCGAACACAACTGGTAGAGTGAGAGCTTATGGCGAACTGTCATCAGAATTGATTACCTCAAGTGGTGTTCGTCAAGGCTGTCCACTCTCCACATTCTTGTTCAACTTTGTCATTGACATACTTTTAGAGATAACACTTTCCTCATCTAAATTTCCAGGGGTTGAACTTCTACCAGGAGGTTCACTTGTTGACTTAGAATATGCAGATGACATAGTTTTATTTGGTGAAGAGGCTGACAAAATTCAGAGTCTTCTGACCACTCTAAGCAACAATACAAGCATATTCGGGATGAGATTCTCCCAGTCTAAATGCAAAATATTGCTTCAGGATTGGGTTGCATCGACACCCAAACTAGTGATAGGGAGTGAAGTAGTTGAGTGTGTCGACCGCTTCACTTATCTTGGAAGTCTCATCAGCCCTTGTGGTCTAGTGTGTGACAAAATCTCAGCACGGATACAGAAGGCTCGACTAACTTTCGCCAACTTGCGTCATTTATGGCGTAGGCGAGATATCCGTCTATCAACTAAATGACGTGTTTACTGTGCAGCGGTTCGTTCCGTCCCACTTTATAGCAGTGAAACATGGCCGGTAAGAGTAGAGGATATTCGTAGGTTACTAGTATTTGATCATAGTTGTCTTCGAAATATTGCGAAGTGACGGCACATTAAGTAGAAGCGTGTATAGAAGAAACCCTTCTTCATGCCAATATACTCACTTCTGCAGTTTCACACCCATCCGGTACAAGAGAAATTTGGTCAGATGTCTCACGAGCAGAGCAAAAAAAAGATCTGTACAGTAGACACTCTAAGTGAGGAGCTTGAATTTCTCAATAACTCACTGACCGAGATCGGCTACCCCAGCGCGTTCATCAAGAAATACATGCAGGATATAATAAAGAAGTCGGAGATTTCGACTGTTCGTAAGAAACCTTTATACATGAAAGTGCAATTCAACGGGGATGTGGCTAGTGACACTCTGAAATATAGGTTAACCAAAGTAATCACCAAAACATTCTAAGCAGCCAATCTTGCGTTGACCTTCTCTTGTCGACCAGCGATGTCTACTCAAACGAAGGATAAGTTACCTGAGTTGGCCTCCTCCATGTGCATTTACAAATTCAGCTGCTCCTGTGGAGATAGCTATATAGGGCGTACTACCAGGCAACTTAACCAACGAATGAGTGAACATCTACCAACTTGGTACATAAAGGGTCAGAGAAAAACGATTCGCAGTTCTATACTAGCACATCTTATTGATAGCGGTCATGCAGTAGAGAAATCGAAATCATTTCGAGTTATCTATCGTATACCTCCATCATTTCCCGACGGAGTCCGTTCCCGTCTCCTATATATAGCTGAAGCCATTGGAATTCGTACATATAACCCCAATCTATGTGTACAGAAGAAATACGTGACTCCCCTATCCCTTCCATGGCCAGTTATAACTAAACTAACAATTTTTATTTTTATTTATTTTATTTTTATTTTTATTTTAAATTTTATCATTATCATTATTTATTTTATTCTATCTGTGTTATTGTTAACCTTATTTCCACATCCATTATTTGTTTGTCATTATCCGCCTCTTTGTATTCTTCACTATCTAATTATTTACACACATCTTATTACATAATGATTTTTAAGGTTTTGTGATTACTATTCCTAGTCTATTTACCCATGTTTATTTGACCTTCTATTTCCAACGATTAACTATTGATAAGAGTTTTGTTATTGTAGTTTATTATTCTTACCACTATCTGTTCACCTGTCTTCGTACTATCAACTTTTACCTATTATGTGTAGTGACTTATTCTATTTCATTGTGATTATTGACTCATATTGCCTTGATTGGTTTAAAAAATTTTCGTATAAATATTCATGTACATTAGAGTAAAGCCTGATGACGATCTAATTGAAAACAATTGTTCGCTTATATGTGTTGTTCTAATTTTCGAAATATTGCTCGTATATCTTGGGACCATCGAGTAAGTAACGCAGTTGTTAGGAAACGAGTACTAGGTAAGGATGGCAAATCAATTGATGAAGTAGTGAAACTTCATCTGTTGAGATGGCTGGGACATGTGTTATGTATGCCCAACGACCGACTGCCTCGACGTGCGATGCTCAATGGTATAGGAGTAGGTTGGAAGAAAGCTAGGGGCGGCCAAACCAAAACATGGCACAAATCCATGAAGTCACTGACAAGTGGACTGAGTCATGTTGGTAGGCGTAGACTAGCTGGTTGGGGACCACGATATGATAGCAACTGATGGTTAGAGATCCTGAATGACATGGCTCAAAATCGTTTGCAATGGTGCAGGTGCATCCACTCTTTGTGTTCTCCCAAATTCTAATCTTCTGAATTCTTCATGTCCCTTTTTTCCTCTTTACAAATTCATTTCACTGTATTATACTCTTTAAGTAACATCTCCAAACCCTAATCTTCCCGATTACAGCTTATAATTTTACTACGTCTAGCACTACGGGATTTGAATCGACAACTGCATCTCCGTGCTAATGTGGTGTGGCAACTCGAACAGATGTACGTACGTACGAAGTTCTACGTTGTTACTGACTGACTGACAGAGAGTATATATACAATATGATTAATGAAATATGTAGGTGATTTAGAATCTCATTATGCAGAACAAATATTTCCAATTATGAAGGAGGTCAAAACGTGTGAAAAATAAACAAACTTAGCCAATCAATAATTTCTAAAATTACTTTGTACTTATAGAAAATCAGTGTAAATCCATTAAAGAGGTACCGCTTTTTTCCAGTTTTGACATACTTCATATGTTCAAATATTTGCTCACTATATGACGGTAATTTTATTAGTCGTATCACGGATATTAATAACTCTAACATAAAATATCTATGTTTATTCATAAGAATTGTATTGGTGGGTCGATACCATTGTTAATACTAATGAAAAAAGTATTCAGTGAGATTGCTGTTTAGATCTAAATATGTTTGCATTAAAAATTAATAAACTTACTTCGTTTGAAATTATAATGTCGACAAGCAATTTCAGACCATAAACGCCCAAATCGATCTTGCATACCTTTCGGTTTTTCCAGTAAATGTGTCATGAGGGATTGCACATGAACATTAAATTCTTCGTCAGACATATCTTCTAACAGTTTCTAAAATACCAATATGTAAGGAAAGTGAGTAGCGTGTATCAAGGAGTCTGTACGTAAGTACAAGCCATCATATTGGAGGCGTATACATTGTATGAGAGCATAAATGACAGGACGGAACAGAACAGAACAGACAACAATCCATTACGTATACAGTTTGATGGAAGGAAAACAATCAGTAACACTCACATTTACAGTAAGTAGAAATTCTTCGATACATTTATCAATTTTATTAGGATGATAAGATGATTGCACTAAAATACGAAAACCTTGCAGTTTATTGGATCGTCGGAGTCCAGCCTGTACAACATAACCTTCAATGTGAACATGAAAAAACAAGAGAGAATAAAACGTCTATAGAATGGTCAATTTTAGGTTAATAAAATGTAAGTAAAATTTTAGTCAGTCAGTCAGTAACAACGTAGAACTTCTAACGTACGTATATCAGTTCGAGTTGCCACACCACATTAGCACAGAGATGCAGTTGTCGATTCAAATCCCGTAGTGCTAGACGTAGTAAAATTATAAGCTGTAATCGGGAAGATTAGGGTTTGGAGATGTTACTTAAAGAGTATAATACAGTGAAATGAATTTGTAAAGAGAAAAAAGGGACATGAAGAATTCAGAAGATTAGAATTTGGGAGAACACAAAGAGTGGATGCACCTGCACCATTGCAAACGATTTTGAGCCATGTCATTCAGGGTCTCTAACCATCGGTTGCTATCATCTCGCGGTCCTCAACCAGGTAGTCTACAACTACCAACATGACTCAGTCCACTTGTCAGTGACTTCATGGATTTGTGCCAGGTCTTGGTCTGGCCACCTCAAGCTCTCTTCCAACCTACTCCTACACCACTGAACATTGCACGTCGGGGCAGTCAGTGGTGTGCACTACTTATGCTGACGGATGTAAGTAGTATGTAGCAGGAATTGGAAGTAGAATGTATTTAATATACGATCTTCATACTTTACAAATCTACTGTTTAAAATTGCGTAAAACAATGAATTGGTCATCCCCACCAAGTTTTCATTCACTACAATACTACTACTTAAATATAGGACAGATACGTAATACAAATCAATAGTTCAATGTGCAAAATGGTATGACATAACTATGGAGAAATAAAGTCAGGGGCTAACGATGCAAAAAAAATTACCCGGTAACAGAACAACAATCCTTCTGTAAAACATAAAAATGGAATACACACCTTTACTTCCTGTCCATATTAAAAGTTAACCTTAATTATGATGTAAAACCAAATGCTGAACCACTTAAAACCAGGAAGTACTAAACAGGTGACTGATCTCATCATATGACGTATTACAGGACTATAAACGCAAGATCACATAAAAACCACTGAATCTGAAAAAGCATAGGATAATATTGAGAAATGAGGTCAGAGTTCGGTTGACTGCAAATTAACCTTAAATTTAAAAGTTCATGAAACTAAATTATTCCGTAGTTTAATCACCATACCCAAGTATTCCTTTTCTAGTGGACAGTTAGATGATAATTAATAAATCAATGATTAGTGATGAAGTTATTTTCAGTATTGAACAAATTCTATCGATCACTTCGCATTGTGGCCACTAGTGTAAATGACTAGGACTATGTTCAGATATTTGTAATTTAGCCTTTTGTGTTACACCACAAGATTAAAATGCCAATGAAATGTATGAACTGGTCACCAAAGACACATATTCGTATCAGTTATTTGATAGTTAAGATAATTGAGAATTACTCATATCTTACTTACGTCTTTGACCCCCAAGGGAGCATAAGCCACCGACCAGCATTCTTTAAACCCAATCTATTCTGGGCCTTCCTTTCTAGTTCGATCCAACTGTTGTTCATTCTTCTCATGTCTGTCTCCATTTCTCGGAGTAATGTGTTGTTTGGTCTTCCTCTTCTCCTTAGGCCTTGAAAATTCCAAGCGAGGGCTTGCCTTATGACACAGTTGTGTTATTTGCAATCCACTTTCGGAGCTTCTGCCTGATTTTTCCTCCGCTGAGATCAGGTTTGTTCTCTCCCACGGTAGGCTGTTGCTGATAGTATCCGGTCAATAAATGTTGGGTATCTTGCGTAGACAACCATTTATAAATACTTGTACCTCCTTGATGATGGTTGTAATAGTTCTCCAAGTTTCATCTCCGTACAGTAGAACTGTCTTGACATTTGTATTGAAAATTCCGACTTTGGTGTTAGTTGACAGTTGTTTTAAATTCCAGATGTTCCTCAATTGTAGACATACTGCTCTTGCTTCTCCGATCCACGCCTTCACATCTGCATCAGATCCACCCTGTTCATCAATGATGCTGCCCAGATATGTAAAGGTTTTTACATTCTTCAGAGATTCTTCGTCAAGTGTGATTCGATTGGTGCATGCTATGCTGTATCGGAGAATCTTGATTTCCCCTTTGTTTATGTTGAGAACCACTGCTGCTACACTGGTCGTCTTCTTCCGCATTTGTTGATGCGTGTGCGACAGAAGAGCCAGACCATCTACGAAGTCTAGGTCGTCCAGCTGCATCCTAGCTGTCCACTGTATCCCGCGTTTCCCTTCACATTTTGACGTCTTCATGATCCAGTCGATCACCAGGAGAAAGAGAAAGGGTGAGAGTAAGCAACCTTGCCTCACACCGGCCTTTACTTCGAACAACTTTGTCCACTGTCCTCCATGCACGATTTTGCAGTGTAATCCATCATATGAATTCTGCATGATATTGACCATCTTCTGAGGCACGCCGTAGTGTCGAAGAAGCTTCCATAGTGTCGTTCTGTCCACGCTGTCAAATTCTTTCTCGTAGTCAATGAAGTTGATATAGAGTGATGAATTCTATTCAAGTGATTGTTCCACAGTGATCCGTAGAGTTGCGATTTGGTCTGTACATGATCTATCCTTACGGAACCCTGCCTGTTGGTCTTGAAGTCGGGCGTCTACGCAGTCCTTCATCCTGTTTGACAATACCCTGTTGAAGACTTTTCCCGGTATTGAGAGAAGCGTGATGCCCCTGTAGTTATCACACTTGCTGAGATCGCCTTTCTTCGGTATTTTGATCAGAAGTCCTTCTTTCCAGTCTGTTGGTAATTGTTCTTCATTCCAAATCTTATTGAAGAGAATGTGGAGTATCCTTGCAGTTGCCGCTACGTCTGCTTTTAATGCATCTGCTGGAATGTTGTCTCGTCCCGCTCTTGACTTGTCTGATGGAGCCTGGAGCTCCTCTAGGGTTACTGCCGGTCCCAGGCCCGCAAAAAGGAGGAGGGTAGGGCACGGACTTATCGATCCTATCCTGTAGAAAATGAACTCGCTAAAAAACGCTAACCAGAAAAAATAATTCAAACCATTTAAACTCATATCTTAAGATATCGTTAATGCGTCTCTTATAATTCAATGGTATTTATAGTTACTATGTTCCATACTCAATAATAATTCCTCACCCAATTGTTGTTCCGTATGTAGTTTATCGAAAATGGGTTCTCTTACAATCTGATAAAACAGATGGAGTAATGTATTGTTAAGCGTAGACTGCTCACCACATTGAAGGTAATAGTAAATCGCAGAAGCTGGTTGACCAGAAATATATCGTTGATAAAGAAAACTGGAATCTAAATAAAATAAGAAAAACGATTGGAATAAGAATAGTCAACAAAACATATCATGTACACAATTCGGATAAAAAATAACTTATTTTCGTCTTGTCAGTCAGATTTTATGCAAAGTAGAACCTGACACATGCAGAAGATTAAACTAGCACACTACATCAGGAAACCAAGAAAGAATTATTAAGTAGTAGAAGTAATATCACTATCAGTGATAGTAGAAAACATTAAGAACATACAATAGGATTCGAGAAAAAATGTATAAGGTTATTTTGATTTAAGAAAAGACAAAAACTAAATGTAACTGCTCCATTGAAACCGATTCCAAGCGATATTACGCTACGGTAACCACATAATGGTTATGATAATTGCGTGAAGGTATTCTACACATATTAACATCACTCAATTTAAACCTCACATCTTACAGTACACTGTGAGATAAGATTCAGTAAGAGATTGTAGTAAAAATAAACATAATGTAATATAATATTAATTTAGTTATTAAAATTTAAAGAATCAGAATTCAGATAAGTGGAATAATCTGAATTTGTATGACAACAAGATTATTTAAATCACAAAGTGGAAAATTACAGTAGTTTAAAGTTCTAGTCTTTATGATTACTGTATCTGTTCATTATTTGTCCAAATTGACCAAGATAACAAAACATAAAATTTTTAAAAATGTCACCTAGTTCTCTACCGACGTTCACTTTATTATATAATAGACACTATCTTTTATACAAATTTTCTAATTTATAAAACTGAAAAAAGGAAGAACGAATATTGTAGTAGAATAACATGAATTGTTTCCTTTCGTGGATTCTGCTGAGCTGCTCATACCTTAAAACCGTGGCATTAATCATTGGAATGAAACAAGTGTAAATACTTCGAATCTGGAATGAATTTACTTAATATGGAGATAGAATAATATTAAGAGACAATAATAGGGAACAAATCACACAATTGAAACTCGTTAAGTATATGAATATTTTATAAGAGGATGGAAATAGGATTTTATTTACGAAACCGAAGACAGATTATTTAGTATAGACTAATTTAATAGATGAATTCACGAGCCAATTAAAGCTAGACCACTATGAAGAACCTGGAAGCACTGGACGGCCGTTTCGTCCTAGTATGGGTTTCCTCAGCAGTGCGCATCCAAGATCCCGCCTACGCAGGATTCAAGCTCAGGACCTATCAGTCTCGTGCGCAAGCGCTTAACCTATAGACTAGTTAAGTAAGCTCAGAAGTACGAATTATGACACTAGAAATTTTATTCAAAGTTTATACAAGGTCTTACGTAATAATCTCATAAAAATAAGGTCAACAGGGCTAGAAAAGACTAGTTCTGGATATATAAACCGCGTTTAAATCTTTTTTATTGCAATAGATTCGGTAAAGCGTAACAATTTTGAATCCCTATGTTTATTAATCATTCTGAAAGATTTCGAAACTATAACATCATGCCTACTGTCGAGTAGATGACGAGCGATTGAGCTGTTCAAAACCTTCCGTTTAACCTCAAATTTTGTGGATTATGTTCGGAGATATGGACACGGGTGCTTCCTTCTGTTCTTCCTAAGTATGTACTTTGTTACGTGCATGTAAACTGTTAAACTCATTGGAGATGACACTAGGTGGGTATCTGTCCACATTTGACTGTCACAACGAGCATTTGGTTTGCTATAAAGACATCAACTTGGTCGCTGAATATGTCCTTTTAGGCATTACCTTTAGTTTAAAGTCAATCCTCCCAGTTATTTTATTCCTTCTGAAACCAAATTTTAGGAAGACAGGCTTTTTCTCAACTGTAGGATATTTCATTTTCTCTAGTTGTAATATATTTATTTATGACTTTTTGAGAATAACTGTTCTCACGTAAACAACATTCAACTACGGTCGATTCAGCCTCCTCTCACGTGACATAAAACATTATGATATTATTCACCGATTTCATGACAGTTTGTCTTAGGTTTACCATAAAGATGTCTGCCAAGATTTGGCCGAGTGAGCGGCCCATAGCCTATATATATAATTCATATACCATATTTCTGAAAAAAAACTGATGGACAAAGGTGTTTACCTTCAGGAATTATAACTTCTCGAGGTGTTGCGATGTGAGATAGCAAAAATGGTTTAGAATCAAATTTTTGTATTAACAGATCTCGAATCATTTCGTAATAATCTATTGCATCCTGTAAATGGAAATTTGAAACATCGATATGAATAGTTGAAAAACATGATTTAGAAAAATAATCGACAAATTTATCTAAGTTATTTTCCAAGTGATACAGAAAGCAATTTACCCTTTACATTCAAGAACAATTACTTTGATCAATAATCAAATTATGGAATAAAAAAGTTAATCTACGGTCAATATACAAACTGCTAATCATTCACTGAATGAATATCGTGACACAGCATACACAATTCAGTAGGTTGGTGATAAGTAAATCTAAGAGTGAAATATGATCTAAACCACACATCGTTAAAAAAAACGGAGAATCGTTCAAAGGTCTGTAAATCACAGTAGATGTTTGTGTTATTTAAATAGATAATGTGAAATTAATGCTTGCTTAGGAAATTTAACAGTTTCAAATACGTGTCTACGTTACTTTTGGTGATATTCAGATGTTAGCTTGGCTATATTAGTTGTATAAATCACGTCCATGAATAAACATATTCAATGCACTTGCGTTACAAGTTATCAAAATAATTTAGCTTAATTGATGCACATATATCACGTTTGGTGAGAATACCATGTAGTCTATTCTAACATCAGAAGATATGACTTTGGAGATAGAAGAAATGAATTTCCAATAAATTAAAAATGTGTGAAACAGTAAATTTTATTAACTAACATCCGACAGATGTGGCTGAGTGGTTTCAAATATTAACTGAAGTCAACTGCAATCGTTTTGCAGTTTTCTGTTGTAATAAGTTAACAATCGAAGCTCCCTTGAGTGTAACTACATTCAAAGACGAACAGTTCTTGGTATGTTAGCTCCATAATATCAGTCCATAAAATCATTTAATTTCCGTATAGGTCATGCTGATAGATCTAGAATTCCTGTTTGAGATCCGCATGATAACTTTAACCGGTCGCTGGGAATGTTGTGTAACATGTCTTAGAATCGGTAAGCATAGATCATATGCCATCACTCCTTATCTTTCTTTGGATACTGAGTATTCTATCTTAAATACGTTTTTATCCATTTTGATCAATGATTATTTAATATCTTTCGTTATTATGTCTACTAGGGTTAATTATAATACCTTTGAAATTCTTTTTGGTTTCACTTCATCGTGACTAATACGAAATGGGCTGATAAATACTTGTGCTGAGCTTTATAATGACAGTAACTAACAGTTACTTATGGGATTGTTTCACTGTTTCTAATTGTTCTGTCACCTACTCGTCTTTTTCTTAATGTTATGAACTAATTACTCAAGTTGAAATGAAAAGCCTGTTCATAATGTTTGTGTATTACTGTACACAATTTATAATATTCATGTATCAATAACTATAAATGATTTTAACATTTTAAATTTCTACAAAGAAATCCTAGTCATATTCTCATTACTGAATTAACCTAAAGAATGATATTAACCACATTACTGTATGCTTACCTTTTCGGTGATACTGCCATATATAAGGCCTTCGATAAAAATGCATTCATAAAACTCTTTGATATAATTAACCAACTTTTCGTAGGTAATATCTAGGATCAAAAAATGAATAAGTCAACGAATCACTTAAAGAATTTCCAATCGAAACTCAGTGGACCAATTTCAGTAACGATTTTTACAGTGAATATTAAGTAAACCCTTAAAGAACACCGGTGGAGACAATCGAATATATTTAACACAAAATTACAGGACTTGTTAATAAAATCTAACAATCATAAAGTAAATGCTTAATTTGCAAAGTGTCCATCGATTGTCTCGAAATGACTCAGACTTCATTGTTCTTGCATTTTCATACAAATTGTATTTTGTTTCCATTCTTTACTGTTCGATCCTCTTGTCTCTTTGCTGCCAGACCTTCTGTTCACGACTAACATCATCTACTACTTGTGTCAATATTATTAGCACACACTACAACACATCATAAAACAGTTTGTATTTTAGTGTGGGAATCAAAACATGATTGCTTTGAATATTTGTATACATACATGCCTTTATTAAACGAACATCAGTTATTACATAACCCAACAAAAAACCTTTTTAACATTTATAAAAAATTATTCCGAAACATTTCAGTCAATCACGAGTGACAAATAACATGGTAGTAATTATTCTTTAATGATGAATTAGAATTAACATTAACATATATAATTTAATGGTTGAATCTCGCGGGGGGGGGCGGGATCGTGGATGCGCACTGCTGAGGAAACCCATACTAAGACGAAACGGCCGTCCAGTGCTTCCAGGTTTTTCATAGTGGTCCAACTTCAATTGACTCATGAATTCAGCCACTAAATTACTATAATATCCACAAAACCCCTCTCTGATTATAAACATATATAAGCTGATGTTGTAACGAATCCAATCAATTTCACAATGAGACAATGAACAGAACTTACGTTTTATACTTAAATTTTTTTCTCAGAAATCTTACTTAATCAAGAACAATCATCATAGAGAAACAATATGATATCATGCATTTCACGGATTCTCTCTTTAACTAGCTATAATACAGATATAATAGCACTAATTACTAAGCCCTATATATATATATATATATATATATTGCTCAGATAGTTAAGCCAGACATCGACCATTAGCGTGCACGTATCTCTCACCCACCATTTGAACTTGATCTGGGATCTGAGCATAAGTAAGTAAGATGTCTGGATTCTCCCAGATTTTCATAGACACTTTATCGTGTTCAAACATCAGAGTAATTCGTATCCCTCTTTTTATTTCACTGTTGTAGACAATTTTTTTTAGAAATTAACGCTTTTATCAGAATTTTCAGGGATAGATCGAACAGGTTTAATTATTGACTTAGAACACACAGATGATATAGACTTGGTTTGCAAAGACGATAATGAGTTTCAGTCTAGCGATCGTCTTGAAGCACAATATAAGCACGTTTTTGATGTGCTTCTCCCTATCTAAATTCAAAATATTGTTTGATGACTGATCTATGCAACCGCCTGAACTCATGAAAGAAAATAGAGCAACTAGTTCACTTATCTTAGAAGTCTAATCAAACTCAGTGAATTAGTGTCTAAGTAAATCTTGTCATGGATTTAGGATGCTTGCACGGTTTTCGACAACATAACTTACCTGTAGTGCAGGCGAAACATCCATCAATTAAACAAAGAACGAGCATAATGTATAGTAGTTTGTTGTATTTTAATTTATGGCCGAGCCCCTAGCCTTCTTCCAACCTACTCCTATACCACTGAACATCGCACGTCGAGGCAGTTGGTCGTTGGGCATACGTAACACGTGTCCCAGCCATCTCAACTGATGAAGTTTCACTACTTCATCAATTGATTTGCCATCCTTACCTAGTACCCGTTTCCTAACAACTGCGTTACTTACTCGATGGTCCCATGATATACGAGCAATGTTTCGAAGACAACTATGATCAAATACTAGTAACCTACGAATATCCTCTACTCTTACCGGCCATGTTTCACTGCCATAAAGTGGGACGGAACAAACTGCTGCACAGTAAACACGTCATTTGGTTGATAGACGGATATCTCGCCTACGCCATAAATGACGCAAGTTGGCGAAAGCTAGTCGAGCCTTCTATATCTGTGCTGAGATTTTGTCACACACTAGACCACAAGGGCTGATGAGACTTCCAAGATAAGTGAAGCGGTCGACACACTCAACTACTTCACTCCCTATCACTAGTTCGGGTGTCGATGCAACCCAATCCTGAACCAATATTTTGCATTTAGACTGGGAGAAACGCATCCTGAATATGCTTGTATTGTTGCTTAGAGTGGTTAGAAGACTCTGAATTTTGTCAGCGTCTTCACCAAATAAAACTGTCATCGGCATATTCTAGGTCAAAAATTGAATCTCCTGGTAAAAGTTCAACCCCTGGAAATTCAGACGAGGAAAGTGCTATCTCTAAAAGCACGTCAACGACAAAGTTGAACAAGAATGGAGAGAGTGGACAGCCTTGACCGTAGCTGCTACCTTGACGCGGTGGTCGGGCTTGCCTATCGTGATGACCCAAACGAGCTATATTGGCTGGAACATATGTTTCTGTAGGTTCTACCATGCCAGGCAGCTCGATTGAAGAACGGTAAGACTAAAAGCAGCAAATCAAGGTCTGAGGGCGAAGTCGTACTGCTGACTGTAGAGGGATCTCACAGTAGTAGGGCGTTTACCTCGGACAGCCAGCATCTGCAGCGATGCCGCCTTCTCACAAGAAAGGAAGGGGTTAAAAAAGGTCATCCCTGACAATGACACACCTCGCCTTACCTCAAGGATTTCCGTCTCCGGCGGTAAGGCCCTTTGAAGAACGTAACTAACACGTCAAAAACCTCCCACAAAAAGGCCGTGAGCGACCGGCCTCAAACAGTTGTCCCTTGGGCTTTGAGGTCACGCTCCCAGGTCGTTAAGGTTAACATTAATCCAACTTCTTTTTCAGGTTCCTCAAGAAATACCCTTCCACAGTGTGAGCAGCCGGGAGGTGACATCAGCCCTCATACCCGTAACAGCACACGAAACCAAGTTGGTCACATTCAAATTCTCCCTATACCTAATACCTCTTTTATCTCCCCGACTAACCCCTTTCACGTCCCTCTATCGCCTTGCACCACTAGAGCAAACGATTCGAGTACGCGGAACGTTATTCCTGGTCTCCTGAAACCACGCTCTAAACTACACGTAGGGGCTTTTATCGTCCGAACACTGTGCCAAATACGACAGCAGGCTTCCTTAGCTAGGACATTAGAATCCCGCGCCATCGATATTGGCTGCGTCTCCGAAACGCGCATACAGGATCCGAGTAGCGTCATTCATTTGACCTCACCATGCCAAAATAAAAAACCGACTCGATTCACACTTCGTGTATCTGGAAGCCCTGATTCTGCTTCCCGTGGCCTCGTCGGCGTAGGTATAGCATTGAGTCCTAGGGCAGAACTAGCTCTCTTAGAGTGGATCCCAGTAGACAGTCGTTTGTGCGCTGTCCGACTAAACGGAACAGTAAGGATCCGAAAAGATAGGGACACTCGTCGTTGCCTCTTCGTCGTCTCTGCCTATTCTCCCACTGACTGCTGCTCAGATGATGTAAAAGATGAGTTTTACAGAAAGCTCTCCGACCTTCTCCGAAAAGCTAGGCGCTCTGATGTAGTAATAATGACTTTAATGCGAAAGGGAAAGACACCTGAGTGGATCTTATAGCGTCGTGGCTTAAAGAACATTGGAGAAGTGATGAATTTCAAATCAATTTTTTTATTCATTATAATATTAAAAATAAATTTTGTCATTATTAAATCAGTCTTAACTTTTTGACTGACAGCCAACAAGAAGATTAATTTTGACTTTATCTAATGGGAACATGTTTGTCTGTTTTGATAAGCTGTGCAAATATAGTTCGAGATCAGTGAATATGCCTATCGTCGGTTAAATTCTTTGAGATTTTGTAAATGGTGGAGGGTTTATAATATCGTAATTCGAGAAGGTCAGTAAATGACGTTCACTGAAATGGTTGTAATTATTTATGGCGACAAAATAATTCGGACAAATCTTTTTATGGGACATTCCTAGTTCACAAAACAGGGATGCTAATAACAATTTTCAGTTCATAATACCAAACAATCAGCAATTTTCTTAACAAAATTAATACTATATGTAATTATATTCGTTACGTTCAGTTGCAACAAGCATCAAGATTATCACAAAGCTCTAGCTAACATGAGATTTAGTAACTCGGGTAGTTGAACATCAGTACTAAGAATAATATTGTTCGCGATTCATTCGAATGAAAAATACTCAAAAGGCAAGAATAAGTACTTACCTTTTAGAGCTTGAATAAAATCATCAATAATCCAAGAATGATGTGTAGTAATATTCGTTAAATATGTACAGGCCTGGTGATGAGTTGGTTTTAATGAAAAATTGGTAATATTTTGGGAAATTTTCTCACGGATGCATTCGAAACGATCAGTTTTTGGTTCCCAATAATCGACAAGTTGTGTTACTATTTCTTGGACAAAAGTTTTCAATTTATGGGTAAATCCTGAAAACAAAAGCTGGAAATTAGGAACAGACAATCATTAAGGAGTGATAATATTCTCGAAGATACATTTTAATACAATTGGTGAATTAAATTTAATAAATTTCTCCAGTCGTGGTATAAAACTAATATATTTGAATGATCAAGCTAAACTACAGCCCATGAGGTTAATTGTAAATCTGATATAAAGTGATGAGAGACTATATGACTTGGAATTCTCTTAACAAAACAGTAATGTATGTGGATTTAATCCAGAATACGGTGTTAAAAATTAAAAGTATTTTGTTATCCTAACAACCCGAAGAAATTAACTATGCTTATTTCCCTACATTTAGCACAAAAACGGTCCTACTAGAATCTGTTCAAGAAAACAGCTACTGATTTTCAGCAGTGGAGCTAAACAGTGTCAGGGTGTGAGGCAAATAAATAATAAAATTCAATGTTTATAACAAGGAGTTATGACTAAATTCAATGATGAAATTTATTTCTACAAATATTTATTTATTCTTAAGTATATTATAAACCACATAACATGTCGACACATGTATACAATGATTATTCATAATGAAACAAATTAATTTAAATCTTAATCTAACATACCGTGATACCTCTATTAGTATATCCCACATGAACTGTTATATCAGCAAACACACTAGAGTAATTAAGTTCATAAATCTGATCCAAAAACAAGTTTACATAAAACGCACAAAGTGTTTCATGTAAAGGACTACAAAATGTTGACAAACTATGATGAAAAATAGAAAATAAACAATTACTTATAAAATATTTATAAGTACTATTATGTAGTAAGTCATAAATAATATTAGTGTATGAATATTATAAATGCTTAATTTTATATTAATTAACTGAAACTATGGTTAAGGACGTCATTGATTACTTTGCATAATAGTAAGATATGTGACATTAAATAAGGTAAAAAAGAGTAGTAAATAAATGAACCCAGTAGGTTAGGCGTTCGCGCGCGAGACCGAAGGCCATGGGTTCGAACCCTGCGAGCGGGACCGCACTGCTGAAGAGTCCCAAAACAGGAAGAAACGGCCGTCCAGTGCTTCCAGGTTTTCAAAGGTGGTCTAACATCAGTCGATTCATGATCTCAATCAAAAACTTAATAATCTCCACAACCCCTATACTAGTAAATGAATTTATTAAATTAAGATTATACTAAATAAGTTAATACTGGTTAATGTGAGCAAAGAAATAACAAACATTTAGTCGTGAAAAAGTTACAATAAGCAGACAGAAACAATATCCCCTTATCCAGCATAATAATGATTACTATTTATAAATGAGAGAGAGAAACTAACCTGACAATATGAAATTTGATAAAACCTTTGGGAAGATTGAATTCTGTATCTTGAAAGTACCAAATACGAGACATCTCTGTTTCGATTAATAATTCTGGCATTTCCACATTCATGGGGCATTTGTTTTGCAACAAATCAAATTCAGTAGTAATGAATGAATTTGGCTCGGGGAATCTCAATTCTGGATTAGAAGGACTATTTCGCCATGCCTTTTAGCGAAGAAGCAAATTATTAGAAACAAAAAAAAACTCAAAAAACAAAGCGAGAATTGCTGAAGAAAACGCATAAATATATGAACAATTCATATCAATAACGTTTAATCTTCACAACGTGAAATTAATGAAGAAGTGGTGTAGCGTAATTCAGTAGGCATAAGAAAGTTTCTCTACTTGGTTTTCAGGTGAAAGTTTTCTATAGATAGTGTAATAAGCCAATCAGATATCGGGTAAATGGCCAAGAAATGCTTACATATTGTAGAGAATATATATAGAGTGTACACCCAAGCCCAATCAGTCACCCAATACAAGCTACCTTCTCATCCTTGATTAGAGAGGCTTGTGTATCAGTATCAGTACCGGACATTATAACATTAAAGACTAATAAATTGACATATACCTGAAACCACATTGAACAGGGATTAAGAAGAAGAAAAGAAATCCATATCTTCTTCCGAAGACACAACATTTAAAGCTAGTAATAATAAATAAGAGGGATACTTAAGCTAAATAACTACAAACTTGTCATTACAAAAGTGAATTATCGCTTAATTTTGTTTTGGCTAACTACGGATTTTCATTGTGGTATAATCACTTATTAATTTCAGTCTCACGATTTACACAATAATATGATACGACAACATGGTTTTAAGAATCGTCCCATTAATAGAAAAAGTGTGCCTATGCTGCTACGTTCCGTATCAGTCCAATCATGTAGGTTATAGTGTCTGGTGCGATGTCAAGCCCACATGGGTTATTCTTGCTTCCAGGCAGACCAATTTCTTTATTCTTCTCGGGTCTCATTTTGACCTTGTCAGTCATTCGCTTATTAACTTTGACTGTTCTTATATGAGCGTGTGTGCATTGCTTACACTATTCATCACAGTCTGTAGCTAATTTTTATCTGGGTTACGCTTTATCAAAACGAGTTGGCTTGCTCGCTTTCTCGGCTTCGCTTTCACGCTTCTTTTCCTGAATGTCTGTATGGATAAACGAGCGCTTGAAGTACACTCATCCAACGCAACCAGTATTTGGCTTTTTAATACCGCTGTCACACAAAAGGAGTTAGCCTAGGTAATATACAGAGTTAAATGGAAGATTTATGTTTATAGTATATTCATTCGTCCTTCGAAATAGAAATCAGAACAAAAGGCCAAAAAAGAGGCTTTAGATTTCCGAAAGATTTTATTAGTTGTTTAACGTTGAGACATAGATCGACATATTTGAACAAACATAATCAAATTTACTTTACCAACATATATGAGACTTCGGAATCCACTTAATCTATACAAATTCTTTTCGTCGACGAATTCACTAAATTTTCTACTTCTGTCCTCATTGGTATGTGATGACTTTTATTCATGCATTTGAAACTCCCACTTTTACATCACCAGAAACTAGTAGATGTCCCTCCTCATCCTGATTTCCATATTAAATCTAGTTTTTATTAATTGTGTATTTATTCAGTCAGTTTGTTATGTAGGATCTACGAGATTAAAAAAATGAGCTCTGTTTCTCAGTCCTGATCACTGTTTAATTCCTATTCCTTACAAAATATATGACAAGTTTGGAAAGGCTTTTCTTTCTCACCAAACCACAAAGTCCAGTGTAAGGAAAACATCCTATACCTGAAAAACATGATTCAAATAACAAAGCTGAATTTGTGCATAAATGCCTTTCTGGACGATAAAGTCAATATTTTCACTTGTTACGATAATTTCTGTTTTCTATGTTTGGTGTCCTAGTCAAAAAGTCTCGATAAAATTCGACCGAATTACCTCCAAAAACTTAAAAAATTGAGGGGAGCAAAGAAAAGACCTTACAAGAAGTAAGAATCTGTCGGAGATGAGGATTAAATTGTCTGAATGAATGTCGACTTGGTATGATTAACCGCTGTTGTTGTTTAGTTGATAAAAACAACTGTCATCCCGATCAATCATTTTATACCAACATATTTGAAAAAAAAACATTAACGAGGTGTAAAGAATAGTAAATGTATTTCTATTACAGCTAATAAAATCTGGACTAACAAAAAACACATGAATCAAAGAAGATAAAAATGGACGTAACTGTGCCACTCTAAGCCATTTTGATACACTTATTCTAGTGTCTACGAATATAAGATACGATGAAAAGGCTAACATATATAACGCCTCACATAAGGAGCTCATGGCTTTATAAAATGATACCATATGTTAGTTTGATCGTATCCAAACTTCTTTTATCGCACTCATATGCTAACCAGCATTGCATGTGAAGGCACGCGACCGCGTGACCAAGGTTCTATAACTACTTTTTGCTGAACAACCGATGGATATTGTTACTCACAATTCTAATAACTACAGAATTTCAAGCAATGAAACACAGTTCTAGTTTTAACCGAAAAAACTCCATAAAATTCAGATGCCCGTATACATGCTGATCAGTCTTAAATAAGATCCAACAGCTTCGCATTATCAAATACAATTTAAACAACGATATTTAATTAGAATAAGATTTTCGATTATAATATTTGCTAAGAACAATGACTTACTGACAAGGTATTTTCAGGAATATTAATAGCAAGATATTTAGTGTGATACCAGGGTTCTTCCTCCACACATTTGTCGGCAAACGTTTTACTAAGTAAAAAGATTCTGTAAAACAACGTTAACACAATATTAAAGTAGTGAGAAAATATACTTTATGTTGTCAGCAGAACAATATCACTTTTATGCAAAAATATTTCCATTCTACTTCTATGATCTATTTTCTAAAAGACAACCCGCAAACAAACATTTTAAGTATGAAGCTTTTTACACGTATATTCAAGCTACCAAGTTCTTAATACCAAACCCCATGAGTCTTTACTCTTTATAATTGATAAAGTTGACATATTCAGATAGACAAAATGCTGAGGACTATTTTACACCTGAATCTCGTACTGAATCAAGAATAGGTGATCATTGAATATTTAAAGTGACAATAATTGCATAAAACTAAATAAGAAATTAACTCTCAGATCTTTTTTCTGAAACCTGAACCAGATCTACATTTGACCAATGTCTTATTAAGTATTTTTTACAGAAGTATCTACATTATGCGAACAATAGCAAACAATTTTGAGGTTATCGGCGTAGAACAAGAATCCGCATGCAGCCCTTCTACAGTTACTACCAGTTTCAAATCCGGGTAAAGGAGGAAAGCTGGAAATAAGGTCGCCAAACACATTCCGTAGAAGACAGACTTGGTAAAAAGCCGTAACCAGAAAAAAATAATTAAAACCATTCAAAATGTGCCCCGCCCCGATTTCAAGGATCTTCACTCAGAATTATGATGCCCCAGGGAGTAACCCGAGATTCTTCGAAAATTACGAGACCAATGACGCTTCGAACAACCAAAGCAACAAACCGTATAGGTACATAGAATGTCTGAACAATGTGAGAAACTGGGAAGACCAGCAAAAGAGATACAGAATTAAACAGACACAACTTGGTGGCTTTAAAATGAGTAACAGATACTGAACTCAAGCTGGACAGAAAAGTTTAGATTCGGGAGATACTCCATGTTCGTTGGTCGGATACTATCAGTAACAACACGCTGCGACAGAGAACAAGTCAGCTTCCAGTTGAAGAGGAAATCAGTAAGAGACGCTAGAGGTGGGTAAGACATACATTTCGGAAATCATCAAACTGCATCATGAGGCAAGCACTAACTTGAAATCCTGAAGGGAAACGGAAGAGAGGAAGACTGAAGAATATAGTGAGTCGGGAATTGGAAGTAGACATCAAAAGAATGAATGGCAATTGGAAACAACTGGAAAAGTGAGCTGAAGACAGAGTTGGTTGGAGAATCCTGGTGGGCGATCTATGCTCCTCCACGATGGATAAGAGTAAGTAAGCAAGTAAATATTTTTGCACTTGTAACAATCGATATTTTTCATCGGCACGAGTAATGTTCAGCGAGCATACAGCACCTCTGACAAACTTTGGGGCTAAATACATATTAAATTTACAAGTACCACAATAAGTGTTTACGATTTTCAATTTATTCTAACTGACAAATTACGTAACCAAACAGTATATTATATACAGGTTACAGTCTATCACAAAGATGATTAGTGTAAAATTCAAGTTTATTCGTCATCTCGTAAATTTTTGGAGGAACGAAAAGCGATTGAGAATGACGACCATATATGAAAAATTTTATTAGACGACGAGAAATGTCATATTGATTAATACATATAAACGGCGATTAACGTGATTGTAAAACGTTTTTTGGAATCATGAGCTGATCTAAGTTAGATAAATGCTGAAAAACTAAAATCACTGGACGATTGTTTCATCCTCGAATAAGACTCCTGAACAGAGTGCACCTATAACCCACCAACCGATGCTTAGACTAAAGACAGGTCACGCTCACGAATATAAAATATCTCTAAACCACTAGACCTAAATTCAATGGCGTACGCATCCAACTCCAATCGATCCTAGATAGAGCGTCACCAATTTTCACAATCTCCACACTGAAAACCTTTTGCATAAAAACTTTAAGTATTAAAGCGTTAAATGAATATTAAAGACGAATTTGTTACACTATTGAAAATTTGTGCTGAGAATTATTCACTGTAATAAAACATAAGGTACTAAATTATTACTACTGTTAATAACTGAATTTAACGAAACCAATTGATGTTAGTTAAGGAACAAAAGTACTACTTTACAGTGAGGAAGCTACACTTCCATTAGGTAACAAAAAATTCAAAACTACATTTTCAAATCTGTAAATATTATAAATTAATATGACGCTGCGAATAGAAAAACCTTACAAAATAACCAGTAAAACGTACCGACTATTATCAGGAGTAAGACAAGTTAATAGTTTCTTAATTAAATTAGGATCATAGACAGTTGCCATAAAATGATTAGTTAGGTCATCTTGCATCTTATAAATCTAGAAAAAAAAGTAGAAAAGTAGGAAACAACTATTTATATGCTAGTCACATTATTTTCCTATTAACTAATCTTAAAAGCCAGTATGGTAATGTTGAAAGTCGATTTATCTGAAGGATTAGAAAATAGGCTATTGGACGTGTTATGTTGCTTTTAAGGGTAATCAAAGGCTTTAAAAATATAAAGTATTTGTTCTTGATAGTACTCACCAACAAATTGCGGGATAATCTTATCACGTATTCATAAGGTGTCTCTTTGTTTTGAAATCGAAAGCCTAGTTTCCATAAAGTCTACAAGTAAACAGTTTATATAAAAAGAATCCACTGGATACGTTAACTTACATTTAAACATAGTTAAAAACCGATTTGTATATTCTCTAAATGCAAAAAAGAAATACTCATTTGGTCTTTATAAGCTGTAGTTGCATAGTTTTATTTTTGCCCCAATAATTACATTAGATTCACCACTAAATTGTTTCTTTACTTCAAATTTCCTATTAATTCATCATTATATTGATGTTGTTCAAGAGATCTGCAGTCTGAAATTACAACTTATCAGAAGCAAATCAATATTGATTGGGTTGAAATACTGTTGTAGTTTATTATTAAGTGAGAACTTTGTTCAGGGAATTTCAATACATTTTCTCGATGATTTGTGCTAATATCAAATACTAAGTTTCAATATTCTGATTAGTTTGTTTCGATATATATATAATCGATAAACTTAATATGTTTTTTGATGGATTATGGATGGCTCAACATTAAAAAGCTTCATCTTCAAAAACCGGTGTTTTTAGTCTGAAGTCATCAAGGCAGAGAAGAGTAAGAGCTAAAAGTGGTTTCATTTACTTATCAGTTGAGTAAACTTAAACCGATGCGCATATATGTCTGTGTTGTTGTACATAATCCACAAATACAACACAACTGTTAATTTTCATCGGACAAGCAATACTACAACATAGACATCTTAATAATATAACACTGTCTAGTCGAAGTTCGAAATGGTTGAAGAAAAATCCAAATCCTACCTGTATTTCATCCAACACCCACTTTTTTGGTTCATCAGAGTGAAGCATGTTGATGTATTGATATATATTTGTTATAATTTCATTGGTTTTCTCTACAAAAAATAAGTTTCAAGAAATTAATTATATGATACATTTATCGTTTAATTATATATATAAACCATATACAGTTATTCTCAATAACGTTAGGAAATGAGAAATCTAACCACCAATTAACTCACCAAGTCCTTTCAAAGTTAAATGAACGAACACATTCAGATAACAAATCCCAGCTCCTGATCTATTAACATCACATGTTAGTTGATTAGCCCAGCCTGCATTTTTGAATAAGCTCAGTAAACTTCCACGACTTTCATGACCAAGTAAATAAGTCACATAACTAGTGGCCTGTAAACATGTGAGTTGAAAAATCACACAAATAATTGAAATGAAGATAGAAAATTTCAGAAACTTATTCCATCTGAGGGTAGGTTTTATCTACAACTGATATCAGATTAGAAACTATTTAAAACCAAAAGATATCAAAATGCTATTAACCCCTAATTTATATCTGTTTAGCAGTAGCCTAGAATGACTGCATACGAAATCGTACCGAGGATTTTCAAGTGTGTAGTAGACAATGATATATTTCAAATCATTGGGACAAGACTCAGTGTTCCATATTTTTCACTTAATTCAATTGATGATATAGAGTGACTATCATTCACTAAGATAGATAATATTACTTTCCATTGGTTATGACTTCTTACTAAATCTTCGAGTCCATAATAATAAAACTATGTGAAATGTAGTATATCAGGAGTGTGAATCAATGAGTGCTAACTCAGCAACTTGAAAGTAGAGCACTCACCATCAGACAGGAATTATCGGATTACATTCTGTATTAGACCGTGGGTGAAAACTATCAAGAAGTAATGAGGTAGAATGTAATGCGTGTTCAGTGCTTTTTGGTCAGCAGTGGTTCGAAAGAAAACGTCAGTACATTTAATTAAAAATTAACGCATTATTTAGGTGCTTGGAATATGAGCCACACTCTCTGTGTAAGGCCTGATAATACTAACGGGTTGCTCCAACCAAAGTGGGTGAAACGACGCTTGAAAGTCAAAAGCTTTAGCTCTACACTATGTGATGAAAATCATATTTAAACAACAATGATAATAATAAAATATGTTTGTGGTAAGTAGATAAATTTAACAGAAAGCTTACGTCATAGACTGATACTGACTGTATTAGAAAAATGTATCAAAACAACGCATGAAAGCAACTTCATATTCAGTCATTATTTATTTGATATCAATCAATCAGGAAAACGATCTTCGTAATGACAAACGATTACATCAGGACAACATATAGTTCCTTTCATAATCATGAAGGAAGCAAAAACAACGATTCGAGCAGAATAGCCAGGATTCATTTTATTTCGTTTGGCTCTCGTTAGAGACCACTTGCTTCTAGACCTTTAAGCTTTTGTTGCTATCACATTTATAAAATGATTTTTAAAATAAGACATAAATTTACAACATTTTGTTTAGTCTATTAAAGCTATTTACAACTTTGCTATACTATACTGATATGTGATTATAGCGACTTTCAACTAAACTCTCTCATACAAGTAATTTGAACCCATTTTTAAATATTACAGGTTTTAAGCAGCTGATGAGAACTAAACGTAATAAAATTAATTCATGCTATTCTGCTCAAATCTTCATTCTTATTATCTTGGATATGTACAACAATTAGATTGAGCATAACTATTTCTTAAGATTTTTGTTTCCAAGTTACTGGTATTCATGAAAAAATTTTAACCAGGCATAGCATACTGTCAGTGTATTTGACAACACTAAAATGTAATAAAATTTATAAACATAAGCACTAACTAGACATGGTGTACAAATATCAAAAAAGAATACTCAAAACACAAATCTCTTCGAATAATAATACGATATATCCAATAAAAAAAACTTATTGATCATCTAATGTTAGAGTAGAAAGAACTACCGGTCATGACACCAAAAATAAGACGAATAATCAGATACGAATACTTAAATAAGACAAATTGAGTATATAACGGACACGTCTGCTAGTCATAATCTAAAACGACGTATAACTTCCTTAACAATATAAGAACAAACCTCTAAAATAGAAAAAAGATTAAGGTTAATTAAGCAATACTATGTACGCATAAAGAATTTTAGTGCACACTATATGAAGAAGGAATCTAAAAATGAACTAAGCGAAATGGAAGACATAAGCACAACGTCCCAATATACGATAAAATTGTTATAAATTAGATGTAAAATCTATTCAGTCACAAATACAAAATTCCGGTTAACACTTATTTCATCATTTAACGCATATCTTCTATCACAGAACCAACATTTATCAGTCGAAAACACAAATTTTAAAACTATTAGTGCAAATCATTCTCGATTATAAGTAAATGTAAGAACTGATTGACACATGTCAACATTTCGAAACAATATAGACGAAAAAAATAAAATGAACAATGAATCTGCATTTGTGCATAACGGATCAATCCACTTCAAAACAATAACTTACTTGAGCTGTATAGTCTGGAATATAGTCAGGAATAGGCCACATTATATTCATTTGATGGACGTCATTCAGTGGGACGACATATACCATTTTCTGTGATAAAATCAAAATATACATTTATTCTACCTTAATTCTCTAATTTACCAAATTACAATTTATTAACAGTTTGATAAACATTACATAGTTCAAGGAAAATAAATCATTGGTTTCATTTGCAGTTTACAATCGCAGTGACAGCACAACTCCGATTCTACAGGTCGATAATTAAGCAATCCACATTCTAGCACATACACATTCTAATTTTTTTAAATTCAAAATACATGACTTTATTTCTGAATAGAACACTAACTGAAATGTGATTGGCATTACTCAGACATATTATTCTCACTGATCTCCGGCAATGCCTAGTAGTATTGCACTGTACTGATGCTTCTCACAGCCATGAAGCCTCTGATACAAATTTGACATCAGAGAAAAGCTAACTTCACACGAGACATTCTACAGACTAGAAAGTAATTAACAACTAAAAGACTAATATCACTCAATATGCTCATATCGATAAAAACAAAATTCACATCATCGTTATTCCATATACCAACTTGGAAACTATAATGCTCAATAAATATCAACTGTTATTTTCATACGTTTGAATCTCAGGTAAACAACAGTATTGCAAAGGAAACATTAAATTCATTTTCAGTATACCTTTAATAACAGACAATGATCAGGTTACTATTTATCACATCCTTCCACTCGACGCAACATTATTACTAAGCCATTATTCTCTTCTACACCTATTTCAATGTATCCAAATTCACATTCTACGTGTTCATCATACTATAGGCAATCAACAGTCACATTGCTCACTCAAAAACTATCTTCACAAAACTGTTTCTTATCATTCTCTAAATTACCACACAACTTGTTTCACATAATTAAAGTTTCATGATTTTTTTAATGATCCAACACCTAATTTACAGTAACCTACTCTAACTGTGAAAAACGCAGCATCCAAACGGCATAAGTAGTGACAATCAAGAATATGAACTTAAACACTTTTTGGAATCAACTAATTATCTTCTAGACTAAACACATAAGCAACAATCAAGATCATATATGCATAGTTTTACTCACAAAACATATTAAATATAATAAAAGTCAAATGAAAGTGTTACCTTGAGACATATATCAGGCCATGGAGTATAGTTCCATGATTGTTGCACAACATTACGATCAATAACTTCCGAAAACTTATCTTCTGCAAGTTTCTCTAGGTCATTTATGGATTCTGAAAACATTTTATAAAAAACAATCACAAACACGAAGAAAACGTAAATACTGATCACACTTAATATTTAAAACCAATTCCAATTAAACGACGAAATACAAACTAAACGATTTTGTAGTCGCTATGTTTGTAACATACACAAGTAGGAAATATCTGATTCAGAAGTTAGATATGAGTCACAAAATGGAGCATTGTAACACTTTCTCAGCCAATTTGTTAACCAGCTTCGTTCTACACATGTTCTCTTCCTCACCTATCTAGTACTCTGCATGAATCATCGTTAGTAACCAAAAACAAAATAATCCAGACATAACAGCTGTTAAAAGCAATCTGATTATTGAGTAGCTTATGAGTTTACTTGGTAATACCTTGATTTCCATGGCCACTGCGTCAAACACTAACACGTAAAATAGATGCCCTAACTAATACATGAACAGAATAACACAGAATAAATATTAGTCTGACATCATGACTTAATGATCAATCAGGAGGCAACATGTCAAAAACAACTAGTATGATAACAGTTCCAGAGTCGTCTGGTGGAAGCCAATCACGCTTAGTACTGTGATGAAATGTATGAATGGTTTTATCAACTGAAGAACCTGCTCTCCAAATCCTCTCAACCCTACAAACATTGACATACTAACTATCCTCATCTGTACAAACAACTTGAAAATATTCAATCTTATCGCCAACTCATAATTGTACATAATCGATTCCAATACACCATCACTAACACATTTAGTCGCCTGTAATTGACAGATCACAATTAAAATAAAATGACTGGGTTCGATTTCTGATGGGAAAAGTGAACAGCATAAAATGGTTTAGTTACATCTATTTTTTTAAAAGAAATTTACATCTCAAAAGTCAGCAACCTCAACAATCAATCTCAGTTCAACAATACTACATGTTATGTACCTCTTCCAAGAATAACTAGTCCCATCACATTTGACGAATACCATGTTGAATAGAATTGCAACAACTTTTCACGTGTATTCACCGATTGTGCACAACTGGACTCAAATAAAGAGTATCGATTACCGGAGAGGAATTTCGTATAATCATGACCACTTTTTGACAAGCTTCGCTCTAGCTGAAAAAGACGTCTAGTATCATTACTAATGTCCTTCTCATGTTCCGACTGTACAGCACTCACCTAAAATTAAAACGTGGCTTGTTAGTGGTAGTCAAAACAGTAAAATTATTATGGCAAATTATCTATGACGTTGTCACTTGGTACCAGTACCACCAAACAAGTATAATTGACTAAGCCAACGGGTATTACTAAGTGTTTTAAATAAAATAGCTAATAAACTCCATATTGATAACTACAGAAAACGAATGCAGGGCTCTCGAAAATTCGAAGCATAGCACTTTTATTTAGAAAACGTCTATTACCAAGCTAACAGAGGGTAAAACAATACAATCAAGTCCCTTCTGTTTACAAATATAGTGATGACGATATCAGGTCTGGGAGCATGTATTTTAACGGTCTTCACCTGAGAATTGGGAAGAGTGATACGACCACAATTAAAAAGCGTAAGAAACTTTTTCAGTTCGCTACGAAATTCAAAATATAATACCGTATTCGCAATAAAATGGATAACAAGTCCCTTTACAAACCAATTTTTGACGATCATTATTCAACCAAAATGTGCGAATAAAATAATATCTGTGATCAGTTCCGCAATGCGCTTCAAAATTTATATTAGGCGAGAACGAACATGGATGCAGAATAAAATGAATTCATCATATTTTGTACTTTTTTATCAGCTGCTTACAACTAAATATGTGTTTAAATTTTACATTGAGGTAAGGTATAGTGTGAAACGATTGACATAAGTGAATGTAAAGAATTGAAATGACAAAGGTTATCAATAATAACCATATATATGCTACAAAATTGACCACAATTCAAATGAATTTCCAATTTTTAACATATTTATATCAATAAACTTAAATTACATTTTGATTTCACTCTTATCCTCTATTCTCACTCTAGCTTCAAAATACTCTCGACACCGTTATCTGCAGTCGTAGGCTTTATTTTCTGATTGACATCACTTATGCACTAACACCGTCACGTGGATCGGCACGCACTGATGCTTTGCCATAACTGTTTTCGTTGAAAAAAATTACCCACACAAGCACAAAATCTTAAGCAGTAGAAGGCAATCAACTATTACATTTTACAATAAAAGATGAAATAAGCACAAAAATAATTCTTCATGAAGTCGAAAGACTTTACCTTCGTCATAAAATAAAGTCTTATTTAGAACAAAGTTGCATAATATCTACATTATAATAACCAGCTAGTGTCTGCAAACGAGAGATACTACCAACCTACCTAAAATCAGGTGAATAAACGGGGTTTCGAAACTATAACCTGGAAATCCATTATGACTATAGCTATTCTTTCGTTAGTTGCTTATCTTTTTAATATATTAGTCGTACTTTTCTCAATATCAATTATTATCTATATGTACAAGACAGCTGTACCCTGGTTTATCTTTCATAAATACAATACAAAACATTCTGATGAGACTATCTATATTTCTCCATCTAGCTTGTCGGTCACTACGATTGCAGCTGTACTACAGTGAAGCGGAAGCAGATATTGGGCTCCTGAATTATGAATACAACTTTGAATAAAATGGAAGAGGCACATCACCTACACGTGCTGCATATTACAATAATTTACACATAATCTCATTCTCGAACAAAGAAGGACGTATTCAATAGAGTAAGAAATAGGACGACCTACAACACCAATCTGTGCAAACATAGTAGATAGCAATATTCGATAAACAAAGTCTTGTGAGACCAGTTTTACATTCAATGTATCATTGCAAAAAACGCTCTATAACTACCACAATCCTTCTTATTCAACAAGTGAAATGCAGTTGACACATTTTCATAACAAATCAAAATCATGTAAAATCATTGTTCACTGTAAAATTATAGGTGGTGTTCATCAATTCTGAGCCCAGATGTAAAACTCAAAACATATCATATAATTGATCGGGCTATGATATTTAGAAAACCTTGAATGTTTGAATTTAGTGACCTCATACCACCAACTTAATATCATATCACACCACCTAGACATTTTTAATTTTTCACGTAATTAATGAAACAACTGATAGAAACTCTCATATGCACCAAACATTTCTTTGAAAAAAACCTGTGCACTGAGACGGAAATCATTGTCGTAGTATTGAAACCACGTTCCATTCACAACAAACTAACAAACAAACGCTTGCCATGTACAGTAACCAGATTAAAACTAACCTCACGTTCTGTTGCAGAATCGGTGAAAAGAGGGCAGATGAAAAACTGTGAGAAAATATCCAACGCACCCTTCAAACTTTCAGGTGCAACATCAAACACATAAGAAGTTCTATCTGGACTCGTAAAAGCATTACAGTGACCACCATGATCGGTTATGTACTTCAAATAGGTATTTTCTGTTGGAAATGATTTCGTACCAAGAAACAACATATGCTCACAAAAGTGTGCGAGACCAGGCAGTTCTTTCGGATCCGACAGTGAACCTAGGATTATAACACTGAAACAACTACCATCAACATACCAATGTTCACAGATAAACACACTGCAGATTTATCTGTTTCCGGATCACTTATAAGAAGCACTTTCATCCTATTGCATAAACGCATCACTTTATATTCTCTCAAGTCATTTGCAGACTTTTGCACTACTGGAGATGAAGAATCTACCGAATTCATACAATCCATGATCGACATTCAATTTGAGTAACAAATTGCACAATATATATACAAATATAGGGTAGGTAACAAGGTGAACTAATCCGAACAACTAAAAAACAAGATACGTAAATAAAAAAAATTACATTAAGATAAATAGGTGGACATATACATCCACTGTAGACTGAGGTGCTGTAAAAATTGAACCAATGCAAAGTGTAGTATAGTGGCAAACCGCTTTGATTCAATTGATTCACGCTTAAAACTTTGGTACTTCGCATAAGAAACAATCATTACACATCGTAGTGGATAACAAGTGATGAAGGAACGTAGTGAATATGAATGATTGTCCTTCAACCACTAAAGTAAAAATCATAGCACACAAGACATCTTAAACAGTAATTTGTAGATGTCTATGTCGAGATACGATCGTTTTCAAGGAAGTCAAACATTGCACAGACTGTTTACAACAAAACCTGTGTATTTTTAATAATCAGTAGTCAGTCAGTCAGTCAGGTACAACGTGGGACCAGGCACATATATGCATCGGTCCAGGTTGCCATACCTCAGGAAGAAAGAATTAGTTCGTAGAAAGAAAGATATAAAGTGCTTTTAATCTCTTAGTTTAAAAGAAGATAGTGTATACACCTACGCCACTGTGATCGATTCTGAGCCATGTCACCAAGAGTCTCCAACCATTGGTTACGAAAGTCACGCGGACCCCAACCAAGTAGTCTGCATCTACCAACATGGCTCAGACTAGAAGTTAGTGACTTCAAGCACTGATGCCACGTTTTGGTTTGGCCGCCCCTAACTTTCTTTCAACCATCTCCAGCACCGGTTAGCATTGCACATCGTGGTAATCGGTGTTCAGGCATACGTAACACGTGGCCCAACCATCTTAGTCGATGAAGATTCACAACCTCATCAACTGATTTACCATCATTACCTAATACCCTGCGTCTAACCTCACTATTATTTACCCGGTGATCCCAACAGACGCCAGCAATATTTCTAAGGCATCTGTGGTCGAATACTAGTAGCTTACGGGTGTCTTCTACCCTTAATGGCTATGTTTCGCTTCCGTAAAGTAAAACAGAACGGACTGCCGCGCAGTATACTCGTCCTTTAATTGATAGACGGATATCTTGCCTTCGACAAAGGTGACGCAAGTTGGCAAAAGCCAAACGAGCTTTTCGAATCCGTGCTCAGATTTCGTCCGATACCAGCCCATTAGGGCTGATCAGACTTTCAAGATAAGTGAAGTTGTCAACGCCTTCGACTACTTCACTCCCTATCCTTAGTTCAGGTGTTGACGCAGACCAGTCCTGAAGCAACAACTTGCATTTAGAGGGAAAGAAGCGCATTCCAAACATTCTGGCATTGTTGCTTAGTGCTACCAAAAGACTCTGCATTTTGTCAGCGTCTTCACCAGACAGGACTATATCATTTGCGTATTCTAAGTCGATAAGTGGACCTCCTGGAAGGAGATCAATACCCGAGAACTCAGTCGATGAGAAAGTTATTTCCATCAGTAGATCTATGATGAAGTTAAACAAAAATGGGGAAAGTGGACAGCCTTGACGGACACCACTTGAGGTTGCAAAAGTAGATGACAGTTCGCCATAAGCTCTGACTTGACTAGTAGTGTTCGAGTAAAGAGCCTTCACAAGGTTTATGTACTTCTGTGGTACGCCTTTCAATGACAGACACTGCCACAGAATCTCGCGGTCTACAGAGTCAAATGCTGCATTTAAGTCGAGAAAGACCACCATTGTCGGACGCCGATAAGTATGCCTGTGTTCTAGAATCTGACGAATGGTGAATATGTGGTCGATGCAGCCACGACCAGGTCTGAAGCCAGCTTGGTTCTCTCGTGTTTGCAGTTCACGAGTCTTAGTTGGGCGTCTGATAATTATCGAGGCTAGTATTTTAGATACTATATTAGTTAAACTAATTCATCTGTGGTTGTCACAAGATGATTTTGACCCTTTCTTATATATTGGGACGATAAGTGATTGCGACCAGTCAGATGGAATAACGTCTAACTCCCAGATCTTAGCTAAAATATTAGTCAACCTAATCGCTAAAATTGGACCACCATCCTTAAAGACCTCCGGAGCCAGTCCATCTGGTTCAGCTGCCCTTCCTCGTTTCAGATTAACTATAACCTTTTGAACTTCAGCAAGAGTTGGGGGACCTACTTCAATGTTCCATTCACACTGTCTGGGAATGGAGGGTAGTTGTAGAGAAGCTGAAGGCCAGCTGAACTGTTCCCTAAAGTGTTCCGCCCATCGTTCTAAACGTCTGGACTGAGAGTAGATGAGAGTATCATCTTTTTCCGAAATAATCTCACTTACACTTGACTTATTAGTTCCAATTTCTTTTATTAGTCCATAAAGCTGTCTTGTGTTCCCTATAGTCGCCGCCTTTTCCATCTCTTTTGCTAATCTACAGACCCAACTTAATGGAAGCAACAATCCTATAGATACAATCGTCATAAATATTTAAATGCACGACACTTGATATTACTAATACCATGATTATATCACACCACTGAACACATAAACTAACAGTAACTATGCAGCAACGTACATGCGTTTCGATTGTAGACTGGACTAGGTGGAAACCAGACGTCCGAGTCTGGTTTTTGATCATTTCATCTTTCACTATCAGTCCATTTTTATAGTTGTGTGCTAAGTGATTTGCATAGAAAACGTTTTTTTCCAAATTTTTACTTGCCGATAAATTGCTTCAAATCAAAATCGTCTATAACATGCATTCTGGATAACTGATTTTTTATATGGTTCTATAATTGTGTATTCCCGTTCATGATTATGCTGTAATAACATTTTTATAATGGCATGCCACAATATAAATATTACTTAGCTAAACTTGAAAATACTGAAGATTCACGCGATTTTTCACATAGATATAGATGAAAACTTTATATACTATTATAATATGAAATATTAGATTTGGAGTAGTATAATAATGCTGCTGTTCACATAATTCATTTGATATGTATGAACTCTGTGTCCTTTCACTTATGAATTCTGATTCGACCCGTGACATATTTAGATTCAGATGAACTTTTCTCAAGACATCTAGTCAGAAAAATAACCGTTTGGGAGTATCATAAGATAAATAAACTCTTCAAAGAATCGCTTGTTGGCACGAAAATGGTAAAAAGAAATATATGATATAGATATCGCAAAATGCTGTCAAAAAGCTAAGTTCCGGCCCGATTTCTCCCACATTCCTCAATCAGCCACCATACATCTAAACTTTACCTCATATTTGCACACCTCGAGAAGATATCAGAAAACAACACAAGCTCCCAACTTTGGTGAAAGTTTGGCCCATTTTGGGGAAGCCGCTATAGTTAACTTTGGGTAAAAAAAAAGCACTAAACTCCGAAATTCCCCTAGACATGTGGAAATTCCCCAATATCTTCCCACAATTCCCCTTTAACCTTGATGAAAGTCATCTGAATTCGGAGTTTCTCCAAAACACCCCAAAATTTCCCCAAACCAGGCATCTTCGGTAGTACAAGAATATAATCTATGGATTGATAAAAATGTCTAAAAACAGTAACAGCATTGTAATATTAATAAAGTATAAACTTCTCGGAACAAAAAACACTTTTTAACAGACAAAATACATAGACTTAACACCTAATATCCGCTAAACACTTCGACAAACCAAGTCGAAAAAATTCAAATTGACGATAGTTGTATTGTCGTGAAGTACTAACAAGGTCACTAACAAGGTTGACATCCAATCATCAATATCATCATGACAGAACAATGTTATTTAACCGATTATTTCACACTCGTATTAAGATTTCGACAGTGCAAAAACAGATTCTTGGGGTGTCTCTGTTCATTTAAGGGACAAAAATCTTCCAGTAACTCTGCTTTCTTTGAAAATGGAAACCAAGATCCTTTTACCGCATTTCTAATGATTTAAATGCTTGTGGAAACAAATAGAAGAATCTTCTGTATAGCGAATCTTCATTTTTATAAAGTTACGGACCTCTTTTTTCTCACAATAAGGATCTGAGCATATAAAAGTCAAGAATCCAATAGTTATTCAGAGCTTGACAACGTGCACTTTACAAACCGGGAGTTTGATCTTAATGTGATTTGCATTTCTCAAACTTTTAGTGTTTCCTTACGCAACAAAAGTGCCAGTTTTGATCCAAAGAATCTATCCTGTGTTTTATGTTTGATAGATTACTTTTGTTTTTGAGTTTTAAACTGAGTAAATAGTTGACTATGAATCTCGACAACGCTAGTATCAACGGGGCTTGCAATGACACTAGTGAGGACATGCTGAAGCTCAGCACCATCATAACATCGACGGTACTAGACTCCTCCGGCAAATTTGGGTCGTCCAGCACAGGATCCCTGTATGCGATCGTACCCTCGTCAACAAAGTTAAAAAGGACCGGGTGTCACCGTTTAAGAAGCTGAACATCCAGATATTGTAATGAAATCAACTGGTTATATGATCGTGCAGTCTGCTCTCAAGACTTTCCAAACGGTCATCAAAGATCAGAGGAATCTGAAACGTTCTTCAACCACCAAACAACATGGTACTCAACCTGAATGTAACCGAAAACCTGGGAAAACTATAACGATTTGTGATGATTATCTAATAATCATGAACGTTAAAGACAACCCTGACATTCATCTCAGCTTTCAGAACAAACACGATAAGATGCTCTGGGAGAAGCCCAACCTTCTCAAAATAGAGCCTTTGACGGTAACATGGGTTACTTGGAAAAAGCACTCCAAGCTTCAAAATCAGCCAAGTCGTAGAGGATATAATGTTGGCTGGTCATTTACTGAAATCAGATGGGAATGTAAGAATGCTGCATGATATCGTATTCTGAGCGTAATCTCATCCACAACATCCATAATGAATCGCGCGAGAAGTTTATCGGCGTAAGAAATATCGTTCTGTAATGTGTACCAGCAAATACGGATCCGGACCACACAGACTCTAATGTTCGAAAATGGGCATTCATCAAG